TGTACAGAGCATGAGTGACACAGCCAGGGGCATGGCCGTGCCAAAAATGCAGTGCACACTGCCTCGGGTTGGCACAGCCATGCCCGTGGCCGTGCCCTCGCCCGTGTACCTCCTGCAAGCAAAATCCTATGCACTGCTTTGACTTATAGGCTATGTTTCACCCCAAAACCATTTCATTGGCCCTTGTGGTCTTCAACAAAGTTGTAGCCCTTCAAGTCTTCTTTCCAATGGCGTAAGAATCACTTCATTTGGAAATTCCTAGGCAAAGATATGGTCAAAATACCGAAAATTGGTCAAAATGAGCGAAAATTGTAATGTCTTGATTTTTGCTCCTCTTTTGTTTTGGTTTGTCCAAATGACTAAGATCATTGAATACACCACTCTTAGGCTCCCTTGGAAGTGTTTTAGCCATCTCCTTAGCTTCCCATTGACTCCCCTTGACTCCAAATGTATCCAAAATGATCCAAAATCCTTCATTTCTACTCAAAGATAATGAATTGTGCCCAATCGATCAAATGAACAAAATAAGAGTCATTTTGAACACCATTGTGAGACTTCATAAGCAAAACAATACTAAATATGGGGTAGACATGGGGTACAAATATGAACAATTATGCACTTATCAACTCCCTCATACTTAAACCTTTGCTTGTCCTCAAGTAAAAACAAGAGATAAATCACCATCTTTGCAATGAAATCGATCATTCTCCCACTTTGCACAACCTATCAAACCACAATCAAACTTGCTACAACACAACTTGTTTCAAGAATCACCTTAGTTTGGCACACAAGTTCCATTCTCAAGTCAATAACCAAGCACCAAATTCATAAAAGTACGTGAGGATCAAGTGTGCACAATTACTAAGTTGAAATTATGCAAAACTTGGCTTTGAATGAGATTCCATAGGCTTGCCCTTCATACTCCCACTAGTTCAACTCTAAAAATGCATGCTAAGATCAAGTAAGACTTTTATTTGGCTTATAATGGGGCTAAGGGTGGATGGTTAAGAAAGAAGGGTATAGGAAATAAACAAAGGAGAGAACTTCACATTTATTCACAATTGGAGTTAGAAGAGATATAACTTCTATGGACTAAGGACCAAATAAGATTTAAGGACAAAATTAACAAACCACTAAAGTGGTGAGGTTGAATACGGCCTTGTTTGGCAATCAGCGGTTAGCGTTTGCGGATTGTATTAGCGGTTACCAAATAGCGGATTATATTAGCGGGTTTGACCAGCAGATTGTATCAGCGGTTTGTAAAAAGATGTTTGGTAAAATTAGCTGTTTAAATTAACGATTAACATGTAAAATGACCAAAAGGGTATACATATAATAATAATAATAATAATAATAATTTTTTAAACAATTGATGTTATCACATCTTTGCTTGTTTTTATAGTTATTTTGAATCACCTCAGTATTTAAGTTCTTTAATTTTGCTTATTTAATACATATTTTCCTTGCCATTATCATTTAATTATGGTTCACACTTGTTTTGAATGTTTTACGGTGTTTGTTAGTGTTTTTGAACCATTTTAGGTCAAAGATATGAGCAAGGGAAGTTCAAGGATGAGTTTTGAGCAATTTTGGACGAGTTCGGGGCCCAGTGGACTCGACGCGTCGAGCCAAGGGCTCGACGCGTCGAAATTTTCCAGTAGCTAACTAATTTGCGCACAGGAAGTCTCGACGCGTGGAGAAAATTCTCGACGCGTCGAGAGAATAGGCGTCTATTTCTGGGATAAAAACAGACGCCTAAAGTGGCGCAGCTGGGCAAAATCAATACAAGCGCGAGATTTCTTTTCCTAATATCAATTGCGCGGACTTCAAGGCTCATATCTCCATATTAAAAGTTAGCAATTCAAGGAATCTTCTAAATTCTAAATATCATTAAAGACGACAATTTCTTTATTTGAATATAGGAATTAGAATTTGAGTCCAATTTGGTACAAGATTCCTATTTCATCTCAACTTTGTACCCACTATAAAATCCCTCCTTCCTCAACCCTAAACAGACGAACAGGACAGGGACCGAGAGAATTCAGAGATTCTTGGAGACAAGAAGGAGAGAAATCAAGAGCCACAAGTTGTCTTGGAAAGCAAGAAGAAGACTAGGGAGATTTGGGAAAATCGTCCGGTTAATTCTTGTACTCTTTTGATGATTTGTAATTCTTTATTTATATTTGCTATGTATAATTTAGTCATGCTTGGCTAAATTCTTTAGAGATTCTTGGGTAAAAGTGTTTATGAACCTATGTGCCTGAGCTCTCAGTTTCTTTAAAATATTATTATTTGGGTTTAATTCTTGTGTTGCAATCGTGATAATATTGTTTGATGCTTGTAATTAATGGCCATAGTTACTAGCTTCATAGCCATGTTTGTGTCACCAATGGGAGTTGGGGCATAAATTAGGGCACACGCGATTGCACCTAGTGGTTGGTCCTTGGGAAAGGGGAATTTATTAGGGGAAGTTTATTCTAGATTGTTGCCAATCGGGAATGGTAGTAATTAGGAATAATTGAATGCTGATCTTTGATCTTATTGGGTGTTTAAGCCATGGGAGTGGAAATTCACTAGGAATAGAGATTACGGGAGTAATTCGATTCCACTTTGCATTCCCACACAAATCTTAATTCCAAACTAAATATTGCAAACGATAATTGGCACTAGGTGATTAAATACTTGAATCCCAAGAATCTCAACTTCTCTCTAATTGTTTTCAAAATCCTGAACCTCTGTTTTATTTTATTTATTTTATGCCAATCAATCATCTAAGTAATTGTTAGGATTAGCTCTAATGAATAAGTTAGTAACTAGTGCTTGATACAACCACTTCCCTGTGGATCGATAACTCGTACTCCGAGAATTATTTGTTTGCAAATATACTACGCATCAACAATAATAATAATAATAATAATAATAATAATAATAATAATAATAAGAAAAAAAAACAAAAACAAACATGGTTGGGATTTCAGCAGTTTGGAGCAAACCGCTGAGTAACCAAACATGGTTTTTGACATTTTGACTTCGATGGATCCGTCAAAAATTTGGCGGATCCGCCATTAACCAAACAAGGCCTACATCTTTCAAAACCAATTTTAAACTTTTTTTTTCTTTTCATTTTTCTCTTTTCATCTATTTTTCAACATTTTTTTCTCAATTTTCTCATATTCTTTTTTTTTTTTCATATTTTTTCATTCATAACAACCAACAAACTTATCCTCAAGACCCACACACTTAAACAAAATTATCAAGAGAATTGTTAACAAAACAAGCTCCACTAAAAATCACTTCCATGAAAAAGAACAAATGATTTATTCTCTCAAGGGTAAAGGGCAACATTTTGGCTAAGGTTTAATGGTTAAATGACGAGGATTAACACAAGAAAAACAAACACAATGAAGGGTTTAAGTGCTAGATAGCTTAGCACTTATTGAACAAACACAAGGCTCAACGGGAACAACTAAAGGTAAACATTTAGAAATGGACAATAGCAAAACCACCTCAACTTTAGTGTGACAATCTTGAGGCTACTTATTTGTGTGTGAAACTGTGAATCCTGTTTTTCATGTTCGAACCAAACATGTAGAAATGGACTACCATTTTGTTCGTAACAAATTAGCCTTAAAGGAATTGCAAATGAACTACATCTCTACAAAAGGACCAACTTGCAGACATTTTCACCAAATCACTCACATCTAAGAGACAAGTTCAATGTTCTCTCTAGAGAACCTTAAACTTGAGAGACATATTAAGACTCTATATTTTATGAGCGAGCTTCAAAATTCCTTTACCTATTATTATAACTCTTCCTGTCACTAATATCCTTCAAATCATCCGGAGGGTTATCTATCCCAGTAGTCCCCCAATTGCCCCAAATGAATTATCACTTTGTCCTCTAGAAAGACTAAAAGTGCCCCATTTTAATAGATAAGCTAGAGTTCTTGAAGTTAGGATATAGATAAGACTTAAATCTGATTGAAATATGATAATCCAATAATAAATACAATAATTTTTTTTATTGGTTTTGGGAAGTAAGATTTGGAGCTGTTGTGGTTTTGTTTGATAGCAATTAGGTGTGGGCTTGAAGAAGCCACGTAGAGAACTAACAGGTTTGGTTATTGATTGAATTGAAGCATGAAGAAGCGAGTGGAAGTTGTGCCATTGATCTGTATAACCATTATCTCCATCTCTAAACCACTGAGTGGTTCAATGGCCACCAACCATTTCCTCACATACCCTCCACACAGCTCTTCTATATTCCCAAATATATAAATACTCTCTTCACGTGGGCTTCTGATTCAACACTACATGCCATGCAAAGCCATATGGCACAGATTCTTTAAACAATACAAAACTATTCAGCTGTTTATTTGGCTATATATATGCGTGTCTGCGTTTTTACCAATATAATGCATGGGGTGGCAGTAGTGGGAGTTCAACTTTGGGAAAGAATGAAAGATGTGTGTGGACGGTAAATCCCGCCACAAGGAGATAAACCAGCCTAGATTGCTCATAGCTGATCAGCTCAAATCAAGAAAGCCAATAGGTTGGGATTCGAACTTGTAAGAAAAGATATATTTATTTACACAATAATGGGCTTTGGCTTCAATATATTCACAGCATTATTTATGCAGATTCATAGATGGAGCCATGGAGGTGGACTAAAGATGTGTGTGTTTTATTTGCATTTGCACCTGCACCTCCTTATTCCCAGCCAGCTAGCTCTCAGTTTTCTTGAAGCTGAGAGAGAGACTGGTAGATCGATAGATGAGTCTGCAGGGAGGGGAGGTGCAAGTGCAAATGCAGACAAAACCCCACATCGATATGTCCATCTGGTATACTCACACGAAGATCGAAGATTCATCTTCCATGATCTGATGATATGATAATGGTGGTAATGTTCTTGGCCTGCTTAACATGTTTGACATTCCAATTCAATGTAAGATTTCTGTTACATTTCTGTTTGTCTGTTTATGTTATCGATTATAATGGAGTGAAGTGAAAACATAAATTAGGATATTAGATTAATGAACAGGCTGCTATATACTATACTTGCTAGCTTTACCAAGAAAGTGAACACAAGAGTGGGATCCAAAGAAAAATACTAAGGCGTATGAGAGGTATACATACTCATATCTTGTGGACTTTCAACCTTGATCTTCTCTGCTGGGGCCTGAAGAGGTTGAGCTTCCCAACCCATGAGAGAATCGTTGTAATTGTATCATACGAGCATAAACCCCGTCAGGGTGGTGTTTCAGGAGATGAGAGTGAGAGCCTTGTTCTGCTACTTTCCCGTCGTCTATGACTGCAATGGAATGTGCATTTGTGATTGTGGATAGCCTATGTGCAACCACGATCGTCGTCTTTCCTGCACAGGCCCGCTCTAGAGCCTCTTGCACGCACCGTTCTGACTCTGCATCGAGGGCGCTCGTGGCTTCATCCAGCAGCATCACCTCCGCTTTCCTTAAGAAGGCCCGGGCAACCGCGATTCTTTGCTTCTGCCCTCCTGACAGTTGGGCTCCTCTTTCCCCGACAAACGTCTTGTACCCATCAGGCAATGCTGACACGAATTTGTGAGCGTTTGCTAAGGTAGCTGCTTCGATGATCTCCGCTTCAGTTGCTGATTCATGCCCGTAAGCAATGTTTTCGTATATGGTTGCAGCAAAGAGGCAGGGCTCTTGTGGAACTACAGAAACGTGGCGCCTTAAAGACATCAGATTGTATTTTCTGATGTCTTTGCCATCGACCATGACCCGTCCAGATGTTGGCTCGTAAAATCTCTGTATAAGTGCAATAACCGAGCTTTTCCCACACCCACTCGGGCCAACAAGAGCAAGAGTTTTACCAGCTCGAGCACGGAGGCTCAAGTCCTTGAAAATTGGAACATCGGGCCGAGAGGGATATGAGAAGTCTACATGCTTGAACTCAACCTCCCCGCGAAGTTTGTCAGGGACAGTGGTGGCATCTGTATCATCGGGCTCAATTTCGGTTTTCCTGTCAAGGAGGTCAAAAACTGACCTCATTGCCTGGCCACCCTTTATAAAGTCAGGGGCTAGAGTCAGTGTTTCGGCTGCCCCATTGGCAGATACCATGAGAACCATGAAAACACGGATTGTCTTGGAGAAGTCCGAGATTTGGTGCTTAACAAGCCAGGAGGCATACCAAAGACCGACAGCGTAGGAAGCATAGAGCAAGAATTGGGCTATTCCATACCCAATTCCAGCAATTTGTCCCTTCCAGAAGCATTGTCTTAGTGGAGGATCGAGATTGGCAGTGAAAAGACTGACGATTTTTGTTTCTGAATTAAACGCAGCAACGGTTCTTACATTTGCAACGGCTTCTCCAGCCAGCTGTGTGCCTTTGGCATGAGCAGCTTCGAGATCTCCAGAGAATCCTTTCATGAACATTTTCTGTAGAGAATTGAAGAAATGGTAAAAAAATTAAAAGAAAACAAGCTCTGATACCATGTTATAAACTAAGATAGTCTAACCCAGGGCCTTATAAACCCATATATTTTCTCTTATTTTATCAATGTGGGACTCTTAACAGTTTCATACCAACCTGCAAAACAGTTGCAGCAACGACCACCGGGAAAACTGCAATTAACACGAGGGCTAGGCGCCACTGCAACACGAACCCCGCAGTGCATGCAACTAGCATGAGAGCTGAGTTCTGCATAATTACTGAGATTCGGTCACCAATGGCCGATCTGACATTGTTTGCATCCAGAGAAAGCCTCGCTGCAATCTTGGAACTCTCGTTTTCTTCCCGATCAAACCAAGCCATTTCGTTTTTCAGCACTGCTGTCAGCATTTGCTCCCTTACCCTTTTGGTCAAGTTCTCCCCCACAACGTCCCAGAATAAATGTTGTAACGTGTTGAAAATGAGAGCAGCAGATGAGACGCCAATTAAAAGATAACAATACTTTGCGATTTCTCTGCTCATGTAGGCGTGGTCTGGGTTGTAGTAGACACTAAGAACAGCACTCAGGACATAGGCAAAGAATGCACTAAGAGAACCACAGACGACAGACCCTATGGAACCAATGAAAGCATAACCCCACTCGGGAGAGTTCATTTTTGCAAGCCGCCAAAAAGAACTCGCTTGCTCCTTGAATGCAAGTTTTTCTTGTCTATAATTAGGATAGGCAACATCTAGCGAGAGGCTAAAGTCAGAGGTAGAGAAGTCAGACAAACGGCGAGAATATGGTGATCGCCCGTAGGAAGAGTTTCTGGTTATTATTGGAGAACTCACAGAGTTTCTGGCACTGGAAGGCCTGCAAGCAAGTAAGCAATAGCATTTAAGCCACAGGTCATACCTTGAGCATATAATATATAAACATAAATGTGCAATCCAACTATCAGCTTAGACTTTTAGCTGAGATGAAGCACATGCTTCAATTTGGTATCAGAGCCAACCCCATGCCAAAGGTCATGGTTCGAAAAGAGACTAGGGGGCGTGTTGAGCATATAATATATAAACATAAATGTGCAATCCAACTATCAGCTTAGACTTTTAGTTGAGATGGAGCACATGCTTCAATTATACAGTGCTCATAGGACATTCACAAAAGATTTTCTCGCAAAACATACCTTGCACTACTCTTTCTGGCGTTATTCATGATTGTTTCGTGAGCCGCTTCTTGCATTTTGATAAGTTTTGCATATACTCCATGCTCTCCTTTGCCAATCAGCTCATCATGGGTTCCAATTTCATATACACTACCTTGCTGCAGAACCACCACAAGGTCAGCTTTTCGGATGGTAGATAGCCGATGGGCAATCACAAGTGTCGTTCTTCCTATCATGAATCTGTCCAGAGCCTCTTGCACTAGCTTTTCCGACTCGGAATCCAATGCACTCGTTGCCTCATCCAAAAGAAGGATCACCGGGTTCTTAAGCATTGCCCTTGCTATCGCTATTCTCTGCTTCTGTCCACCCGATAACTGTAACCCCCTCTCTCCTACCTGCAATTTTCATTTAACAGTTCACTTTCTGTTGGTCCAGTTAAGAGTTGTTTCACGAGATCATCATGATGCATCTCAGCGTTTTATGAGCAAATTGATACATATCTTTGATGTCTTTTGTTAACTTGTTCTCGATTTTAACTAAGCATATGCACTGTTGACAGAAACCATGTTACCCTATTCTTTAACGTATGAACAGACAACCTTTTTTTTTTTTGGGTCAGACCACGAGGTGTTCTGAGCAGACCCTAACTATAGGAGGCACCTTTAAGCCCGTACCATACTCAGACATGAACAGACAACCTTTGAGCATTGACTTCATTAACAATAACAACAACAATAATAATAATTTGTCTTGTGTGTTGACTAAACAAGCCATTTAGCCATTAATGTAACTAGGAAAACACAACTCTCTAAATGGTTGATGGACTTATCTTATGCATCAAAAAAGGACTTGTTGGAGCTTTCAAATGTCTTGAGTAGTTGAGTGGCATGACATATAGATTATAGTATTACACATTGGTCCCCTCTACTTATATAATCAGATTTTGGTATGGTCCTACCAGGACCACTGGTCTTTGGCTAGAAAAAGCAATTCTTAATTGATCTTATGTGTGCTATTATAACAAGCCTATCCAGAATAGATACCGGGGACCAATAGTTAACTCAGGAGTAAAATGTAGGGGAAAATAATATAGTAGATCTAAGTTAAGAAATCATATTATATGTTATTAATAAATTGCGGTCAGCTTTAAGTTTAGCATCATTGAATCACACATTGCGTAATTGCAGTTTGACCATAATGTTAAAGCATGTGCTCCGGCCATATTCACTGACCTGAGTATCAAAGCCATCAGGAAGCTTGATTATGAAAGAATAGGCATTGGCAACCCGAGCAGCCGCTTCAACCTCAGCATCACTAGCACCGGGCCTACCCAACAGTATGTTTTCTTTGATCGTGGTGGCAAAGAGTGCTGGCTCTTGGCTTACTAGCCCGATTTGCTGTCTCAGCCATCTCAGCTTTAACGTCTTTATATCATGCCCATCTAGCAGAACTTGTCCTGCAGACCAAATATTCATTAACACGGATTCATGAGTGAATAAAGAGGTCTGCTGTTTAGTGTAGATTGTTACCTGAGGTGGGGTCGTAAAATCTCTCAATAAGAGAGACCACAGTGCTTTTTCCAGAGCCACTGCTTCCAACCAGGGCTATCGTCTTCCCAGCAGGAACCGTGAGGGAGAAATTGTTAAGAATTTGAACATCTGGCCTTGAAGGGTACGAGAAATCTACATTCTTTAGCTCCAATTGTCCAGTAACAGAATCTAACTCCAAACCCGTTTCGCTGTTTCTGTCAACGCTTGGCTTGTGATCTATTATGCGGAAAATTTTTGCAGCTGCAACTCGAGCCTTTGCAAATGCTGCCATACTTGGTGCTGATTGGCCTAATCCTCTGATAATCAAACAGAGAGATTAGGAAAAATTCAAGAATTTCACATGATTTGAGTAGAGTCATTACTCATTTACACTTACATTCCACCAAGCATGACAGCAAAAGTTGTGGCTATTGCAAGTCCTCCATTGGTTAAATGGTGCCTAACCAAATAGCCTCCATACCACAGCAAAAGGGCATAGCAACAGAAAACGGTGAAGTATGTAGCTCCCAGTCCCAGACCTTTGCAAAACCCAACCTTGTATCCAATCTTCTGAGTAACCTTCAGTGCTGCAGAGTAGGCCTGCAATGCTCTCGACTCGCCAACAAACGCCAGCACGGTTCGAATTTGAACTACAGTCTGCAGTTTTTTCCCAAATTCAGCAATTTATATATATATATTGAAAACTCGTGATTCTTTATCAGGTAGTATCTGTTTTATACTTTTCAAAAAAATTTCCACGCAAAGAATCAAAGCCCCACCACTGGAGTTCGATCCTGTGACCACCCATTTAGAACGGTAACAGTGGTGTCATCTCACCTGTTCCACAATGTTCCCTGCTTTTGAAAGGGCTTCTTGGCTCTTCCCAGAGAGCTTGGCTAAGGTCATAGTGTGAATTGCCCCAATCACAACTATGAGAGGAACCACACCAAGAGTGGCCAAAGCTAATTGCCATGCTGCTGTGAACCCAACCACAAACCCAGACACAAATGTTGCCATATAGTGAATGAAATTCCCCAACTGGCATGCACAGAAACACAAAGAAACGGTAATCAATTCAAAGCCCCAAACACCAAAACCATTTCCAAGAATGAATGAAAAAAAAAATGGGTTTCCTTCACCTTCTCACTAATGGCATCTTGGACCAGCACTGCTTCAGTGTTGATGGCAAAAACAACATCTGAAGTGCGCACCTCAGTATCAAAATATTGAATGTCTTGGTTGAGAGCAGCCTCCAAGTACTTTATCCTCATTTTGGTTGACTGTCTCTCCCCAGTCCACATCCAGCAAGAAATCTCTGAAACCACTCAAACTTGCAAATTCAATCAAGAAACCAGACACAAAGTATCCTAATTAACACCATTGTAGAAGTTTATATAAAGCCACAATCTTTGATGAATTTTTACCTGCCCATGAAGATGCCCATATTGCAGCTCCCACTACAAGGAAGTAATACGCATACTGCAATTAAGAAACAAGAAAATTTGTTTATTTGGGTCCTTTTAATTGAGAGGAATTGAAGTAAATTTGAATTACCTTCAAAACTTCCTGAGTCATTTTATCAACATCGTTAGCATAAGAGCCAAAAGAATTAACAAGATCTGCGAAGAATCTAAGGAAGAGTGGCAAAGAAAAACCATGAACGAAGGCACCCAGACTTCCAATTCCCATTAGAACATAGTCCAAACCATCTGCGAATCTGAAGAGGTCCCCAAAGGCAACAGTGGGAGGAGGAGAGCTAGGCTTCTCTCTCTCAGAACCCTCCATTATTATTTCTACTCTCTTCTCTTGGGGTTCTTGAGGTGTTAGTGTAGTAGTAGTAGTTAGTGTGGTTGTAGGGATAGAGGGATTGTGGGATTTAAAAGAGGAATCTTGTAATGGAAGTGGTGACGCAACAAGCAGCTCGGAGCCTTGCATGTCAAACCATTTCCACTCCTCATTAGTCTTCATTTCCGAGCTGTCCGTTGAGATCCCTTTCCTATTTCTGCAAAACCAATGCACTTGTTTTTCAACACTCTGTCACTCCACTAATTACCCCTCTCTCTCTCTCTCTCTCTCTCTCATGCTTTATTCCACAATTCTACACTTTTCGGGGTAATTTCACTTGGACCCTCACCTTTTTTTTGTACTGCATATTAGGTCCCACTTTCTTTTAAAATTCAACTTTAGTCCCATCAACTTTATTTTTTAGTTTCAATTTAGTCCATAGTCCATAATATACATTCTTCCCCTTGCCATAGAGAATAAGAAAACCCCGATCTTTAAGGTCAATAGTGTTTGTGCATTTAAATAAGAATGGTTCAAGCATCATTCTCAAAACCTTAGGGAGTCCAAGTGAAATGTTCCTATTTTTATTTTTATTTTTTACTTTTTGCTCTTTTATTTTGTTCTATTTACAGGACGTTTGGTTAAAAGGAGGGAATTACGTGTCAAAAGAATTGCAATTCTATAGGAGATGAATATTGAGAATAAAGTGAGATTTTAAATTCCAGTGTTTGGTTTACAGGAATATAATTACTGAGAATTTCAATTCCAATGTTTGGTATACATAGAAATTGAAATGAAATAAGCCGTATAAAGTCCCATATGTCTATTGTCGTTGTGGGCATCAATTTTATGTTTAAAAAAAAAGAGGGTAATTTTGTCTAATGATTAGGTTTAAAAAGTGAGAATGAAACTTAAACTCCCTCCAACCAAACGCCCTGTTAATGTTATAATATTTTGTAATAATTTTACGAAATAGCATAACCTGCACAAATAGAATTGTAATGCCAAAAACATTGTGATCAAGCGGCATAACTATGACTTTCACAAATATGAGAGTCAGTGGTACTCAAAAATAGAATCGTAATTAGATATGGTTTTGAAACTTTTTTTTTCTTTGTTTTGGAACTAAGAAGATTTTTAAGGCATTCAAAAAAAAAAAAAAAAAAAAAAAAAAAAAAAAGAGAGAGATTTTTAAGAATATAGGAGTTTAAAATCAGAGTTAGATATATAAAAATCAAAGGGGAACAGAGTTTTTAAAATATTTACCTATTGTGCAGCAGAGGTGCAATAGATGTATTATTATAAACTTATAAAATTGAATCACATGGTGGATGTAGTCGGGTTTTTTTCACACTTATTCATAAGTACAATGTGAGACTATATAATTTTAAATAATTTATAGAATGACCTATATAATAAGATTGGATATACTTGATAAAGTAATATTATATACGTTGTCAAGAAAAATAATATAAAGGTGTTTTGGTTGAGTATAATATAAAGGTACGGTGTTTGGTAAATAACAAATTTATCAATTTATATTTATATTTATATAATAATTTACATTAGCGGTGAATCATTTATTTATATTTATGTTAAATATATTATTTAGGAATGACAATTTGTCCCGTTCCCGACAGGATTCTCGATCCCCATTCTGATGAGAACGGCGACAGGGATACTCTCACCGACCCGCCCCATCTCCAAATAATAATAATAATAATAATAATAATAATAATTATTATTATTATTATTATTATTATTATTATTATTATATATATATATATATATATATATATATATATATATAAATTTTTAAAATTAAGACTTTGGTTTTTAGTTTTAAAATTAAAAATTACACTAATTTAAAATTTTGACTAAGAGTTGATTGAGAATACAAATGAGAACTATTTTTAAATCCTCGCCAAGAATTGGGACGGGAAGGGACTGGGTCGGGGTTTCGGTGATCCCGTTGTCATCTCTAATATTACCATTACTTTCAAAAAATATACTATTCTTCTCTTTTTCTTTCTTTAAAAAAAAAAAAAAAAAAAAAAAAAAAAAAAAAAAGAGGTAAAATCTATAATATTTTTTTGAAACATTCATTGTTTCCAAGTTTCACTCGTATGACCAACTGAGTTGTCCATGCGGGCAAAGAAACATTCATTCTTATATACAATGTAGTATATGTTCTATATGTTATCGATTTTTTTCAGTTCAAAGAATCAATACACCCACCATCGGGTGTTCAATCTTGTGACCATCCAATTAGAATAGTAACATATGTGTCATCACACTACATAGTAGTTGAGAATAAAATTTAAATTATATTTACACTATACTTTCATATATATTTTTTGAAAGCAAGCAAACTAACAAACAACCCAAAATGTGAAAGACTTATACGGAGCATTATGCTGTGCAACCGTGTGCACCATGCAAGGTGCACACGAAATTGGATCCATAGACCATAATTTTTATATTATAGATCCATAATTTCTATATATACTATAGATTCATAATTTCTATACTATAGATGATTCATAATTTATATACTGTAGATTCATAATTTCTATACTATAGATTCATAATTTATAAATTGTATAGTTATCAAATTATGAACATATAGTTTAGTGATTTGTGAATACAAAGTTCAACAATTGGGAATATGAACATTGAAAATTATAAGCATATAGTTTTGTAATTGTGAATATAGAATTCAATAATTATGAATCTATAGTATAGAAATTATGAATCCAATTCTGTGCGCACCACGCATGGTGCACACAGTTGCACATCATAATTTGCCGACTTATACCTCCATAATACCGTTACATCTGATATAGTAAAATTTACTTCAAATTTCCATCCGATGTTACTTACGGTAAATTCCAGTAATGATTATGGAACAAAAAAAGCAGCAAAGAAGCAATCAAATATCCACTACATTCTGTCCAAAATCCCTTACTTAAGCTTGGTGTTTAAGCTTTAATTTTGTCAGTTAATAACACCTCATACTTCCACCACAATTCATTTTTGCTCTTTATCCTGTTAAGTCAGTCCATCATCCAATTAAAATACAAAGTTAATTAATTAAACCCATTTTTGTCAGATAAAAAATCTGCAGCTTTGGATTTTTTAGGTGTAAAAAAAAAGAGTAAAGTGGAGTTAGGGATCTGAGTTGGTCTGCAAATTCTTTCACTCTTTCAGGTTGTTTGTGTCAGATCATCATCATATGGTATAAAAATGTACCCCAAAAAAACAAAAAAGAAGAAACTTTTAACTGTTTAACACAATACTGGAGTACTGGACTTCTCTTTTGTTATTCCAAATGCCACTCAAACCAACTTATTTCCTTTTAAATTTTTCTTATATTATAAAATTTGAATTCTGTATTTTATAATTTGTTTTAAATGTATAAGTCCTAATTACTTAATTAGTAGTATTAAATTAAATAAAACAAAAAAAAAAATTGAACTATAAATAGTTTAGGCCCATATTCATTAATTGAATTAGCAATTAAACATAAAGTACACAATTTATATCGTGGACTAGGATCCACATAGCATTATGGACCCTTGATCATAACGACGTCGTTTTGATATTTAAACTTTAATAGATAATTTCTCGTTTCTCATGTTTCAACACAAATTTTAATTTATTCTAGGTACAGAGTCCATACATTTAAAGTACATAATTGCATAACATGAGACACAAAAACGTATAACACAAGACACATATACATATTTTATATTTTATTTATTCTCAAATTTGATTTATGTAGATATTTATGTCCTATAGGCACATAATACAATGCAAAAAAAAAAAAAAAAAAAAAAAAAAAAACATGTTGGAGTTGCTCTTAGGTCACCTATGCAAGCTTGTATCAGTTGTATTTTTTTGGGTACATACTTGTATCAGTTGTATGGTATAATATGTCTTCGTCTTATTAAATTAAATTACGGAACAAAAAATAACATGAATGGTCAATATATTTATTACAAGTTAATGAAGTTAGATGTAAAAAGTTTATTGCAAAAATGAAGAGAGTTAAATACTTTAAAAATATATTATAATTCAACAATTAAATAATGATGTGAAGTAAAATTGATATGAGTTGTTTGAAATATATATTATAGTCCGTAGTGTTTTGGTGAAGTGAGTTTGCAGGCTTTTTCTTCACATTCAGCAACAGAAGGTTACTTTAGATCCGGTACTCACGCCCAATTGTCGCTGTCCTTTTAAGGATTTCTGTCGCATTACCTAATCCCCATATTTTCCTAAAAGTCACCTTAATTCACAACTAGTACACACTCACAAGCTTAATTTGGGGAACACAGAATGGGAGTTAGTCAAAAAGGCTGCCCAATTTTCCATCTCTCTCTCAATTAGACCTCATAATTCTCTCTCTCTCTCTCTCTCTCTCTTCTCTATATATATATATATAATTCAGTTCCCGTGCAGTTGGGTGTATCCCGTGCGGCTGTGCAGTTAAATTTGAGCCATTGATCTTGCTTAAATCAATGTCCCGGATTAACAAAATTTTTTAAAAAAAAAAACACGGTGGCAATTTGGTAATTTTTGCATCTAGGTCAAATTTAAGGTGTATGGTTTGTGTGCTTAAGGTACGTGGTTTTTGTGCTTAAAGTGTGTGGTTTGTGTGCTTAATGTGAGTAGTTGTTGAAACTTAAGGTGTGTCAACCTGAAGTTTAATATGCGTGGTTTTCCTTCTTAAGATGCATTATTTTCCGGTGCGTGATTTGTATGTTTAAGGTGCGTGGGTTGTTAAAACTTAAGGTGCGTCATTTTAAAACCTTAGGTGCGTGATTTATGTTTTAAGGTGCGTGGTTTGTGTACTTAAGGTTGTGGTTCGTGTACTTAAGCTGCGTCGGCCTAAAACTTTAAGTGCGCGTTGTTTGTGTTCTTAAGGTGCTTTGTTTGTGTGCTTAAGGTGCGTGATTTGTGTACTTAAGGTGCGCCATTTTAATACTTAAGGTGCGTCAACCGCACGGGAAGCTATACCCACACTTGAACCCTTCTATCAGGGTGTGCAATATCATATGGCCTTTTTTCATAAGTAATTCCTATATATAAATAATAGTTACAATGTTCAAAAAGTTGTATCAACATATAAACATTGCATAAAAAATACATCTAAACTTTTATTTAAAAAGTGACACGCGTCGTGCACATTTAGACGCAAAATCATCTACCAAACTTTTGATATCAACTTCTTCCAAAAGCTCATTTTCAATGGAGATTAAAGCTAA